TATCATGGAAGGCCAGGGCCCTTAGAACAGTCTCTGACTATAGCAATGAAAATGTCTGAATCTCCTAAAGTTTTCTCCCCTTCATTAGCACAAAGGGTAAACTAAGTTCTTCCAGGTGGAAGGATACAGGGGGACCACCACTCTTGGTTTACAGTTCCCATTCTCAACCCAGAAGTCTTTCTAACACTTCTGCCTTTTGGACTTTTCAGGAATCTATTTTGTGGCTGGGTTGCAGAACCTTGTGACACTCTGAGAAGGGCTCCACAGCTTTAGTGTAAGTAGCATTTAGGGCTTCCTGAATCGGAGAGTGAGTCAGAGAATAGTGCCCTTGAAAACTGAAGAGCAACAGCTCACACGAGCTGTATGTATCAAGTTCTCTCCACAGTGACTATACTAGAACTTCACAGGACACTGGTGATCTGATTAGAATCATCCCAAAGTCATCCTCATTCTAAATAATTGAAGATGAAACTATTTATGTTAGTGTTTCATAAGGAGGCTTTAAAGACAAGAACCACACATTTCTCCTCTCATCCCAAAGTAGGCACATGCCAGAGCCTGAAAACGCAGCGGAGAATTAAGCAGACCCAGGCCCTGTCCTCACAGTCTAGCAGCAATTGCAGGTGCTGGTTTTCCAACCAATATCAGTCCAACACTAGCCCTTTGTCTGAGACTTTGGTTTTCACAGGTAGATCCTCCTAACCCTAGGAAACTGACCTTCAGTATTAGATTAGGGGCAGTTCTTTAGCTTCTCATACACTAGTTGTAATAGAGCAGCTAATCCCCTTTGCTTCAGCTCCCCACTCCTTAAAGAGTCTATTATTAATGCGGACAGAAAGACAGCTTTATCACAGGAATGGAGTACGCGGGAGGGATGGGGAAGAAGATTAAGCTAGAGCTCATTGGCACACAGTGAATACCATCACTGGCTTCTTTGTGTTTACCTTCGCTGCTGGGACAAGACCAGCTCAGGTTAAAAGGGTAAGGTCTTGGTTTTGAACTTGCAGAGCAGAAGCTCAGGTGCCTTCCACTGGTGACCAACAGCTTTATTTCAGTCAGCAGAGATGATGCCAGCATCAATTCTCTGAAGCCTGACCCCAGCCTTTCTTCCCTGTCCAGGTTGTCTTTGCCACCACGCTGGCTAGTGCTTAATACGTTCTGTCACACACATGCTATTTTAAGTCTCCAGTCACCCTAATGGGACATTTAAACTCCCATTCCACAGAGGAGAATATCAGACTTTGAAATTAACTTGTTCAGTCCCCCACAACTGCTAATACAAAGCCAACATTCAAGCCCAGACCCTCAGACTCCAAACCCATCCAAAGTTATCTGCTTCTGAAATGTCAGTTCTTCTTTCTTTTTGCACGTGGTCTCAACACTGTGTCCTGGTGGGAAACTGTCTTACAACCTACTGGTTTCCTCCAGGAGCTCTGGAAGCAGCCACTGATGGGTCAGGGCTTGTAGCTGCTCCCTTCCCACTGCAGGCCTGTCCCCCAGTTGGAACATCTCAGCCGGCTTGCTGTCCCTAGCCTCTCCTGCCTCCCACACGGAATCCTATAGCTGTCATGAATGCCTGTGAGGCTATTTTTAGAAACAGAAGCATACACATGGAGATTTTCTAGGAGTCTATTAATATTTTTTGCTGGAGACACTCAGAATTTTAACTTGACTGATTTGAAGATAAATTGCCTCCTAAGGAAGACAGCCTTTCCTCGCTCTTCCCCTGAACACTCCCCATCCCCGGCATAGGTGGTTTTCTGACTTTGTTGCTATTCTGCCCTCTAGGGCTTGTCCTTATCTCCTGGTGCCCAAAGACAGGGATATTAATAGCTAGCAGCAGCTACACTTGATATTTCGCCAAGAAGGCCAAACAGAGAAGCAGATCCCCCCATCCCTCCCTCTTTCCCTCCCTCCCTCCCTTCCTCACTCTCTTCTTTCCTTGACCTCTCCCTGAGATCGGCAATGCTCCTTAGGAACCTTCTGTAGGAGGGAAAGCTCTTCTAAACATCTACTCAAATGTCAGTGGGTGGATTCCAAGCTCTTTAAAAATCTCTTTATGAAAAAAAAAAAAATCTCTTTATGTTATTGATTTTATTCTGTGGCACACAGGATATTTTAAGGGTGAGAGAATAGCCAGGCAGAAACTGGGCAGAATTAATTTTATGAAATTAAAAGAGTAAGAGATTAGGATACATAGATGAAGTCATTTCCCTGGGGATACAACTGTGCCATTTATGTTTAAAAAATACCATCTCTGTTCAATAGTGTTTCCTTGCTTTACTGGGTTAATGGTAATTAAAATGCAAACACTGAAAATAAACATGCCTTTAGGATTAGCTTTTTATTAGGAGTGTTACTCTTAATATGAACTAGGACTTGTTTCTTCTAATTGTATCAGAACAAGACAGAACCAGTTTGCTTTAAGATAGGCTCAGCTGTGAGACAGGAGCGCACGACCTGAGAAGCTTCTCCAGTCTGATCAGGCTTTTCTGCAAAAGGAACCTAGCTTCATGAGACTATAAAACCAACTGAGGCTCAAAAGAAATGCCAGAGACAGGAATCGCAACTTTCTCTCCAACTGAACACATTTAGTCTTGTCAGAAAGCCGATTATTTTTATAGCTACAACAAATTCTTGGACCAGCTCCCTACTCTCTATAACTGCTTGTGAATGTAGGGATCAGGACCTGCTGCACCTCAAGTCAAGAGACCACCTAGTAAACACAGGAAGCCATCAAAGAGCCCCTGCTCTCCCAGTCCTCTTCCTACACTCCTTTTACTGCCCACCCACACCTCTTCGTCTTGTAAAGCTAGGTCCGTCCTTCTCCTCCTGCCCTCTTCACTTCCTACAAATGTCCAAGGCAGTCGCGGGGAACAACTTCACATTTTTTATAAGAATTTTAGGAGGAAGCAAAGACAAGACCCAAGCTGGACCTCCCACTTACTGGCCACACAAACTCTTGCTCTTTATTACTAAGGCCCAAACCCAAGGAATGAGCAACAGACTGAGAACATCATCTCACACACATAAACACAAAGTGAATATTAATACACATTATTACTTCAGCTCTCTGACCAGTTCACAGAACAGCTTTAATGAATGCCCAAATACATAATAGGAACACGTATTTCCCTTCTCAACTGAGTTGTTTGTAGATATACTTGGTGTAGTGGTTGATTAATTATGTCAACTTGAGAAGTTTAGAAGCATAACAAAACTTGGCTCAGCAACTGGTCCAGCAATTCTACACCCTAAGGTGTAGAGGAGCCACCCTAGGGTGGATCATCACCTAGATAATATAAAAGGGAAATGAAGAAGGACAGGGGTACTTCCATTCCTTTTGGAGGAGCTCCAGTCTTCACCTTCAGCTTGCACTTCGTCCCTGGCTTCTAGTGCAGACTCTTCGGCTTCCACCTTGGATCCTTCAGCCTTCTGTCGCAGACTCATTGGCCTCCTGGTACGGACTTGCACAGAACTCTGCAGCGAACTCCAGACCCTGGACTGATTCCTTTGGTCTTCTGTGTGCAGACACCTTCTGCACACTTCCCCATGCAACTCTCTGGCTGACCATCATAAATCAATCTTATAACTTCTTATAATTTGTACATCCTGTGTTATATCTGTTTCTCCAGTAAAACCCTGACTGATACACTTGGTAATCAAATATTTAAATGTCGCTTTTGCTTCAATTATGCTACATTTCTCAGCCCACTCAAAAAGACATACATGCAGTTTGGGAAAATCTTGATCCTTCTGCAAACCACATCTCTCTCACCAAGCACTATGACAAACCACTGGAGACTGGTGGCCCTCTCACCCCAGGGCCTCACCCTGTACTCTTTGGTTTGCCAGAGCCCTGAGTCAGTCCAAACACCCAGCCCTCTTCCAGCCCTGTCACCAGTGTCACTGGGTTACACCTTGCCAGGCCAACTGGTTCTGTGGCAGCCTCTGCTGAGCAACAGAACCCAGCAAACTCAGAGGACTTGGGTAGAAAAGACAGCAACTGGTTCATTCTATCAGCATCCAGGTGAGGGTACTAGAAAAACAGCCCGGAGACCTGTGAAAGGGAACAAGCTCTTGGGCCAGACTTCTCCCAATAGGTTCTTGCTGACATGCCTGATTGGTCCTCAGGACACAGTACCTGGTTCCACAGGACAACAGTCAGATGCCACAGGAGATGCCAAAGGCTGCCTTTCACTTTGGCATCTACCTGAAGAGAGAGGCCCAAGTGCAGGTTTAGTGCTTCATAATCTTGGGAATTTCCTCGTCGAGTTGATTCTGGCTGAATATTAGAACACATTGTCAAAATGACTTCATAACTTGGTTTGCCCAGCTTTTCTTAATCATTACCAGTCTTGTCCACTGGTACACCTCAGTAGCATACCTTGCTCAGAAAGGATACTCAGAAACATTAGTTCTGAGATCAGCATTAAAGTCCCTGCCCTTCATGACCTTGAATACCCCCACCCTCCTCAGCAGAGGCCCAACTAAGGCAGGAGCAGTGAAAATTGGTTTCCTTATGGAAGAAACCATCCAAGAAGACGTATTTAATTCATCATTAATAGATGAGGTCACATCTCAGATTGAACAGGCCCCAGTTCAAACTCCTATATGGAGTAGCTGTGTGACTTGAGTGTGTCATTTCACCTTTATGGGCCTTCAGACCTCATTTTAAGTGAGGACAAGGACCAGATGAGTTCTCAGGCTTCTTTCAAACAAGCCCACCCCGCCGCCATGGTTCTGCGGCTAGATTCACAGAGCCCAGTGTGATTCAGCCCTAGGTAGGGGCCCCTGGCAGGAGGTGAGCACTTTCCACACTAGAACTGTGAGCGCAGGAAGGAGGAACAATGTTGAACAGCCCTCAGTAAGGCTGGAATTAGGGAAGCATTGCTCTTCCCAAAAATTAGTACTGATCAGTAACGAACCCTTAAGGGCAAAGAAAACTCAAAACAAAGCAAAGCAAAAACATCAACTAATGACTTTGTTTCTGTTTAAAGGCAAATTGCCAAGGATGCAGAAGGAAATGATGATCAAAGACGAGGATGCGCATTTCAACTTGGGTGTGAAGAGGACCCCGTCCTTTCCCCACTGCCTACAGCCAGTGGCCTCTCGCGGGAAGGCACCCCAGAGACTCCCCCTTCCCGAAGCCCTCCGGGGGCCGTTCTCCCAGTTTCGATACGAACCCCCCGCAGGGAACCTGGACGGGTTCTCCGGGGTCTTCGAAGGAGGCGGGTCCCGCAAGCGCAAGAGCATGCCCACCAAGATGCCCTACAGCCATGCCGCACAGGAAGCCCTGCTCGGCCTCCCCTCGGAGGAGAGCAAAGCCCGCGGGGCCGCGAGCCTCCCCCTGCTCTTCGCGCAGCCCCCGCGCCCCAAGTGTGACTCGCAGATGATCGACCTGTGTGACGTGGGCTTCCAGTTCTACCGCGCGCTCGAGCCGCTGGCCGGCAAGCCCGTCAAGCAGGAGCCGGTCAAGCAGGAGCCCCTCAAGCCCAGCGCCGTGTGGCCGCAGCCGGCGCCCCCGCCCTTCCTGCCCGCGCCCTACCCTTACTACCCCAAAGTGCACCCGGGCCTGGTGTTCCCGCTCTTCGTGCCCGCCACCTCGCCCTTCCCCTTCGGCCGGCACCCCTTCCTGCCCAGGCCGCCCGCCGAGGAGCCGCCGCCCCGGAAAGCGGAGCCCGTGGAGAGCGAGGAGGCCAAGCAGAAGGTGGAGCGGGTGGACGTGAACGTGCAGATCGATGACAGCTACTACGTGGACGTGGGCGGGGCGCAGAAGCGCTGGCAGTGCCCGACCTGCGAGAAGTCCTACACCTCCAAGTACAACCTGGTCACCCACATCCTAGGCCACAGCGGCATCAAGCCGCACGCGTGCAGCCGCTGCGGGAAGCTCTTCAAGCAGCTCAGCCACCTGCACACACACATGCTGACGCACCAGGGCACGCGGCCCCACAAGTGCCAGGTGTGCCACAAGGCCTTCACCCAGACCAGCCACCTCAAGCGCCACATGATGCAGCACAGCGAGGTGAAGCCGCACAACTGCCGCGTGTGCGGCCGGGGCTTCGCCTACCCCAGCGAGCTCAAGGCGCACGAGGCCAAGCACGCGAGCGGGCGGGAGAACATCTGCGTGGAGTGCGGCCTCGACTTCCCCACGCTGGCCCAGCTGAAGAGGCACCTCACCACGCACCGGGGCCCCATCCAGTACAACTGCTCCGAGTGCGACAAGACCTTCCAGTACCCCAGCCAGCTGCAGAACCACATGATGAAGCACAAGGACATCCGGCCCTACATCTGCTCGGAGTGCGGCATGGAGTTCGTGCAGCCGCACCACCTCAAGCAGCACTCGCTCACCCACAAGGTACTGCGAGGGTGGGAGGGGGCCGGGGCGGGCTTCTGGGCCTCCCTGGAGATGAGCAGAGCCGCCCTCACTTTGCCTTAGAGGGCTAGCAGATGGCAAGGCGGTAGGCTATCAATGAAGCCCTGTCCCCTGTAAGGTGGGCCTGGCAGCAAGGAACCAGGCTTCCCAAAGGACAGTGAGGGACCGTGGTGGTTACGCGCTGCTGCTGCCTAGCCGCCAAGAATCCCTGGAATTTTGTTTCTAGGGACTTCACCCTGGCCACCAGCTTCAGTGTGTCCCCACACCCTGTCCCCTCTATGCCTGGAATATGCCCCCGAGCACCCCCTGGAGAACTCCCTTGGCCTTTTGCAGCTACCCTTCCAGTTGCTTGCTGGATCCACTCTGAGACCAGCTTCGTGCACAGGTGGCTGGGACCGAGCAGCCCTGGGCACATTCCACAGGGCTGAGGTCCTTCCCGCTTGGGTTCAGTGGCCTGTGGTTGGTAGTGTAGGAGGCAAGAGAAAGCATCTTTCCCTGTTGGCTTTGGTTTTATTTTCCCTAAGCTTGGGTTTTCAAGGAGACAGTCAGGCCCTAGGGGCTAAATTTAGTCTCGTTTGTAAGCAAACTCTGGAGTCATTCTGACTGAATTAAACAAGGCCCTGGCGGCACCCTGAAATCTTGCACTGGCTGAGCTGACTTGAGTCTGCTTTGAGCTACCAAAACAAGAGCTCTACCTTTGCCCTCAGGCTCAGTGGTTTTCTTGGTAGAAGAGATTCCAAGGAAGCTAAAGTCTCATTACAACATTCTTTAATTCTGAAAAGTCAGTGGAAGACTTTGCCCAACCAAGGAAACACTTCTGCTCTATTTTAATAGGTTTCATTTGTTAGAACACAGCACAGGGCATTTTCTGGCCCTGCAGCAGAGATGAAGTGTAGGGCTGCCCTGTGGGCACTGCACAAACAGCTCCTGCCCTGCAAAAGACACCTGTAGATACCATCTGAGGGGAGTTGCCTGCCAAACGCAGGAGCCATCAGTAAAGGTACATTGAGATTCAGCCACAAAGGAAACTATTTGCTTATTTCAAGGGCTCCTGACCATGTTCAAAAGGTGCATTTTAGAATATACAGATTCTGTAAGATAATAGACAATGAAGCCAAACTGGAAGAAACAGCCTGGTACCTGAAATAAGTTTCATTCAGATCAGAAAACAAATCCACTGAGAGGCATCAGCCAACAGTGAGAGGTAGAATTTACTGAAGACTTGCTCTATAGCATGTGCTTTACTCGTTACTTGGCTTTTATTTCTCAGCACCTCTGAGCGTGACCCCTGACTTGCAGATATAGACCCCGAGGCTTGGGAAGGCCACTAGGGAATCCCCAATACCAGTGCCTGAGTCCAGAACACTTAACTCACAGACTGCCTCTTTTCCAGCCCCTTCCCGCCCTCACCCCTCCTCCCCCTGGGCACCTTCTCTGTCCTTTTACTGTTCTTATCGGACATAACAGCTTCCTTTGTAGCTCCAAAGTTAAGGCTAGATTCCTATTCTCTTGTCTTTTACACCGCCCATGTGAGTCTTACTTTAGATACGGAATTCTCTCGAAGAAATTCCAAAAGCAGTGATATGTAGTGGCTTCTTAATCTGGGATAACTGGATCATAGCCAAGTCCAGAGGGGAAATTTTTTTGTTGTTGTTCTAAGATCAAATCAAGTGCTTCATGCATGCTATGTACATACTGTGTCACTGAGCCATGTCCCTGGCCCCAGAGACTATCTAGAGAGAAGAAAGATATGCTAGTAAAATGTGAAGCCTGTCAAGAAAATATTTTTATTGATTTCATAGTATTAAACTCACTGAATATGCAATACACTTAAAATTAATTTTCTTAACATTAAAATGCAGTTTTGAAGGAGGTTGATTCCTGCTTCTTCTAGTATAAATCCACATTCATCTCCAAAGATGAGAGTGAGCTAGAAAGAACTCCAGGGTTCTGAAGACCCACCAGTTCATCGTGAGAAGAGAAGTCCACACTAGGAAAGGACTTGGCTAGATAAGGTTTCACAGTCAGTAAGTAGCTGGGCAGAGATCTCAACCTACCCTTTAGTACTCATGGACTCACCAAAACCAAGGAATGATACTGTCTTAACATGCCAAAAATTAAATACATGGAAATACAGGCAGTCAGAACTGAACTTGGAATGAATTCTTTCCTCCTGAGGCCACTATGAACACCAGGAAATATGGATTTCTTTGAAGTTTGTTGTTTTAGTAATTTGTTCTAATCAGTCCTGTAAGAATCATCTCAGTATCATGGTTCTCTAAGTTTTCCTTTTCATCAGTTATTTTGGCTGGGCATGGTGGCACACACCTGAAGTCTCAGCTATTTAGGAGGGTGAGGTGGGAGGATCAGATGAGCACATGAGTCTGAGACCAGCCTGAGCAACATAGCAAAACCCTAGCTCAAAACAAAGGAAAACAAGGTCATTCTGGATCAAGACCCCTTGCACAGGCATTTTTACGGAAGCACTGTTTACTCAGGTATAGCTAGTACTCTACTCCAGCTGGGAGTCCCTGGAAATACTCTGACAGCATCAATGCTCAGGTACCCAAACACTCCTCTACAGCTGCTAAGGAAACTAGACAACCTCCTGCTCTGCTTTCTAATTCAGAATGCGGTCACCCGCCGCATTTCCCCCTCAAAAAGAGCTCAGTTAGAGAAGACTCCAGAGCCAAGGCACACTGTTCACTATGGCTTGGGGGAAGCCAGGGCACCAACTGGAGAGGGTGAATACCAAGTTGTGATCCACTGAAGTGAAAATAAGTTCTTCTGGGATTTTTTGAGTCCATTAATGAGAACTCAAGGGGACATTAGCTTTCATGTGGGAAATGTTGCTATCAGTTTAGATGTTGTGTTTTCATTACTGTGAAAGCTGGATTATAGATTCATTTTGCATATCAGTCCACAGTGCTCTTGCCCAAATCCTGTTAATCCTTGAAAACTGTTACTGTAGAATTACCATGGGCAGCAGTAGGAACAACAAAAGCAATAGCTCCTTTTCTCAGTGGTCTGGCCAGTCTCTGGTGTTTAGAAGGGGGAGAAAAAGATTATGTAATCTACACTTTTCAAGAAAATAATAATCTAACAAGACTAACACTACACCATTTGGACCTTGATGGAGCTCTTTGTGGATTACGTAGTGGGAAGGAAAACAAAGCCGATAGCCCTCATGGAAGCCTGCTTCCCACTAATCCCGGAAGTCTTGACTCTCGCCTCCCCGCAGGGTGTGAAGGAGCACAAGTGCGGTATTTGTGGGCGGGAGTTCACTCTGCTGGCCAACATGAAGAGACACGTGCTGATCCACACCAACATTCGTGCCTACCAGTGTCACCTCTGCTACAAGAGCTTCGTGCAGAAACAGACCCTCAAGGCGCACATGATCGTCCACTCTGATGTGAAGCCTTTCAAATGCAAGGTGGGCATGAGGGGTGGGTTGGGGGTTGTGTGCATGCTCAGGGGTGTGCGCATGCCCAGTGAGGCAGAGTCCCTGGAGAGCCTTCTGCTGTGGTTCATCTGGGGCCTAGTGAGGCTCAGAGTAGGTTTGTGGTCAATCTTGAGTCCCATCTGCCACTCTGCCCCTCCTTCCACCATACCTGTGCTCGCAACAGCCCTTGGCTGGTCCCTGAGAAGCTGGCCCTGTTTGTGTCACTGTGGCATCAGTGTCCAGGCAGTCGGGGAAGTCTTGAGGGTGGAAGGCCCATTTGAGAATGGAATTGGTCGAGGATGAAGCCAATGCAGACAGCTCCTGCCCCAGAGCAGAGGAGAAACCTGGTACGGCTCTCTTCCCCTTACAAACCAATGAGTAGAACAGAGAGATGAGTCCGGAAAGCTTCCAGCAAAATCCCCTGTTCCCTTACCTCCCTTCCTCTCCTCACACTGGGACTGAACCTTCTGCTTAGAAGACAGGCCTCCCAGCAAGGCTGAAAGGGCTCCCTGCAGGCTAGTTTCCTTCCCTGTAGCGTCTGCTAAGTAATGGGATGGTTAGAGCTTATGGTAGCTGCAGCATTATTCACAATAGCCAAGATGTGGAATCAGCCTAGGTGTCTATCAAAGCATGAATGGATGAAGAAAATTTGGAATACTATGCAGCCATGAAAAATAAAATACTGGTATTTGTAGCAATGTGGATGAGCCTGGAAGATACTATGTTAAGTGAAATAAGCCAAGCATAGAAAGCTGAAAACACTCCATGGTCTCACTCATGTGGAAGCTAAATAAATTGATCTTATAGAAGTAGGGTCATGGTTACCAGAGGCTGGGAAGGAGAGAGGAAGAAGTGATAGAGAGGTTGATGACAGTGTTGTTCAAAAATATAGTTAAGGAGAAAGAGTTGTAGGGTTGTATAACACAACACAGTAAAATGACTAATGTTAACAATAATTTATTGTATATTTCAATATACAATAAATTGTATATACAGTATGTACAATAATGCCACAGTGGATCCCATGAATGTGTACAACCATCGCATGTCAATTACACAAATAGAGACAAAATGAATTGTAAATGTCACCTTTCAAAGCACCTCAGAAATCCTTTTTTTGGTTAAGAGCACAGTCACCTAGAGTATTTTTCATTTATTCCCAAGTGCCACAAAGCACAGGGATCGATCACCTTTGTTAAAATTTCTGTGTCACATTAATTTGGGTTTTATTTCATCAGCTGAGAAAATGTGTGAGCAGGAGATTTGTAAATCCCAAGGCACTAACTGGTGTTACGCAGAGCTCTCAGGCTTCCCAAGGCTGCCCCAGCCCCCAGCACTGTTTTCTTCTCCGCTTCTGAAAAGAAAAGTCTTACATGTGATTGGGTAGTGTAAGGACTGCACAGCAAGTGTCACCCAGTTGCACAGAAAGGGCCTAAGGGAGAAGAGGGAAATGCCGCCTGGAGACATCTGCAGCGCTCTTCTGTTTGAAATGGAAGTTTTCCTTCTCTTTGTTACTATGGGTTGGACGGGGTGCAAATGACACTCTCTTAGGTCCACTCCCTGAAGGAGGGTTCCCCGCTTCCCAGAGCTGTTGCTGCTTTCATCCCTCTGCAGAGTGGCCCCCTCTTGAAGGAACCCCCTGCGAAGTTGACTTCTTTCCTGTGCTGGCAACTCCTGGCCAGGGTGAGGGGTCAGGAACCAGAGCTTCCCTAGACGGTGCGGGTATTGTCCAGACGCAGCAGAGGGAGGTTTCTCCCCCCAGCCCTTTTCCTGCCACCCACTTCTGTTTCCCTTCCTTTTCTCCAAGTTCCCAGTGGTTTGAAAGTCAATTTATGTCCATCTTGAGTCAGCTAAGCTGAAAGGAGAGGAAGCAGCATGCAGGACGGGCTGCATGATTCTCAGGGCCCAGTGCAAAATGGAAATGCAAGGCCCCTTGTTCAGACAGAATGAAGAACTGCAAGGCAGTGAGGCAGAGCATCACATCAAAGTCTGGACCCTTCTGAGCTGGGGCCCTGTGCTGTACACCTGAGAGGCCAGCCCTGGCTGCAAAGAAAGTCTGCTGTCTCTCTTCAGGTGCTTCTTTGATTTCCTTCCCACTCACTGAGTCTCTAAAGTGCTTTGCTTCCAAAGCATCAGAGCTTCCTGCAGAAGTTCACTGTGTCCTACAGTGGAGGTGCAGGCTCCTGCAGGCTCTTTGCCATTCTTTAATCCCTGTGCTATGTTTACTTTTGGGCTTCAGACATGAATTATGTTTATATCTTTTCAAATGTTCTGGAGGAAAATTGTTAAAACAGGTAGGAAGTTATCTGCCTAAAAATAATCCATACCTGTCCAGCCCAACTACTTCCTACTGCACCTCATCCAGTCTGATCCAGCAGTGGGCATAGCCAGGCGGGCAATGCTCCTGAAGTGAGGCTTTTGAGATTTGAGGACAAAGAGGCAGAACTGCTTTTCCACTCCCAAAGGCCTGGATTTCTTGGGACAGTGTCTGACGGTCTAGAGAATTCTCCATGGTTCTGGTACACAGAAACTACACAGAGCAACGCAGCCTGGGTCCAATGATGCCATCCTAACAGGCCTCTCTTTAGGAACAGCAGTCTGCTGCTCTACCCCATGACAATGCACCATGTCATGAAGTGTTCAGTGTCAGCTTAATGGTTCAGAAACTCCATTCTGCCTCTTCCCTGAGGACTGAATCAGTGCTGGATGTCTGGTCCACACCAGCAGATCCCTTGAGAGAGTGTGAAGTAGTATCTTATTTATTTATTTATTTTTTTGGGTAACGGGAATCGAACTCACAACCTCGCACTTGCCAGGCAGGCGCCTGCACCACTGAGCTATATCCCTGGCCTGAGAGTGTGAAGTGGAAGGCCAGCTTTGAAACCATACACGGGTTCTACTTCTCAGTGGGAGATGGGCCTGCCACAGGAATTAGACTGGTCATGTGGAGGAGCACTTCTCCTGGTGGCCACATCCTCTTAGGAGTCTGTACCATAGGTGGGTAGGCCAGGTAGAGAGTGTTACATATTATTAGACAGAAAGAATTGGACGTTGAAGGGCATTTTTGTCAAATTTAGGTGACCTTTCTCTATCCTTAAACATCTCTGAAACAAAGATGGGTATCAGTCATCTGGGCACATAGCCCCTTGTCTCCTGGAAAGTGCCAGAAACCAACTGCCAGGTGATTCCTCTCCAGCTCTAGCATTTCCACATCTTCCAGTGTGAGATGGTCCAGCACCAGAACTGGCCTGGTCATCCTCAAAAGTCATAAATCCCTGGGAAGTACTCTCAGATCCCTGCAAAGTGTCGTCATGTTGGGTGTCCTTACTGTACCACCACCCTTTTTCATGTCAAAAGACTTCCAGAGCGTGTCTGAGTTCGCAAATTTTCAACAGGCTCACAGTGTTTTCAAACACTTTGGGGGTGAGCCAGCTCCACATGGTGTCCTGTAGACCTGGTCTCCCATCAGAACTTGCCAGACTCTTGGAAATCTGGCTCTGTGTGAAGGCTGTTGGGGTTTGGAAGCTGGGAGAGGGCTGGAGGCCAGTTGCTCATTGCTCTATGTTTCAAAGCCACCAGAGACAAACAGCCGCATGTGTAGCCATGTTGGGGAACGAGCCCGGAGAGCTCCACCCGAGCCTGGTCATGGCGCCAGGGCAGAGCTGTTCTCTTTCCGTGCTTGACATGGCAGGCTCGCTGCCGCTGTGCTCCAGCAGTTAGTGCTCTCTCCTTTACTCAGGAACTTGCACCAAGGGAGATTTTTTTGGTAACAGATCCAAATTTCTGGGGATTCTCACCATTAAAAATGTTCTCCTATAAATCCTTTCCCCACCGTAGCATCAAATGGTTCTCTCTGACCCTGTGGTCAGTGGAAACAGCTGTCTCCAGAAAGCAGAAATGTTCTCTAACTGTGGGATCAGGCATTAACAATAGGATGGAAAATTAGAGGAGAGGAAAGTTTTCCAGTCTATGTTTCTTTTTTCTTACATAAAAAAAAACAAATCACTGCCTTTCTGAGCTCTTTCACTCTTGACAACTTCTGAACTCCTTGCTCCTCCGGACTCCTTGCTTTTTGGAGCCAGCTGGAGCTTTTCCAGAGACCCATGCCTGTAGACTCAAGCCGTGTTTCAGAAACATGCTTCCCAGATTCTGCGTAAGCACATAGGATTTGACTTGGATACTACCCTTGTAGCAGCCACACTCCATGAGAGCAAAAAACCAGCTGCCCTCTTTGGAAAACCTGTCCAGGAAAAGCCAGCATCCAGAATTTCCGGGACAAATTCTCTTTTGAGATGGGTAAAGCTGGGAGCTGCCTAAGTTATGAATCATCGGGTCATCTGCAGCAGAGGGCTGGAGTAGAAGGCAGAGCCTTTAGGTGAGGGGTGAGGTCTCCCTGAAAAGGCTCTCCACTTCCTCTACTGCCAAGGGGCTCTGTTTCCTCCTCGAGTTCTTTGATGCCCCGAGGGGAGAAACCACATGGGGAACTTTGTGGGGGTCCAGCGCTTGGGGTCAGGCTTTTCGGGCTGGTGAAGAGGGGGTTAAGGCAGTGACCAGATAGCAGCCTTTTGGCAGCACAGGCCTCCTCTGGCTGAAGGAAGGATATAGCTGTATGAACTGCCTGCTTAACAATGCCTCACATGTCCCCAGGGGCCGGCCTGCAAATAGATTTCATCTTGCTTTCTCTTGTACTTTTCAAAGCTTCCTGTTTTCTCACGGTCCTTTTGGACAGTTTACAGTCTCTCTCTCCCTCCCTCCCTCTCTCTCCCTTTGAGGAAAGGAACACCCTTCTTAGTAAAGGAGAGAGGGGGAAGAATGGAAGGGAAGGGCAGTTCAGGGAGGCCATTCTCCTTGGCTGCGGGCTGCAGCTCTTTGACCTTTGCGCTCAGAGCAGGAAAACGCAGGCTTCCTGGGGTATCTCAGCTCTGAAGCTCACCTCAGTGGCTGCAGTGAGGCAGTGTGCTTTTTACTGACTTTCTGGGCCTCTGGCCTGGGCTGGTGGCTGCCACTGTCTTTGCACAGTCTCTGCCCACAGCCGACCTCTCCTTGGCCGCCAGTGTAGTCTTGGGAGGTTCAAGGGAGCGAATGCCAGAGGAACCTCCAGGCCCCGGACCTGGGAAGGAAGGATTCCGGGAGCCCAGAGCAAGGAGGCCTGGTGCAAACTGGGGACTGGTCAGCTGTTTCAGGGACAGTCTGAGGACTGAGGAGCCAGGTAGCAGGACCGCTGAATCCAGCCACCTAGGCTGAGTCTTCCCTTTCCCTGCCCAGTTCCCAAAATGGGCCAGCACAACTGTTTGCGTTTTTATTAGGGCCCAGGTCAGCCAGCAAGGATTTACTTGGAGGATTCCTCTCTTGGTCCTGCCTTTGATATCTCCTTCAGTTAATTTGCTGAAAAGGACAGCACTCTTGTCTTCAAAGATCTTTCTGTTTCTGGAATGTTAAGTAGCCTACCACGTACTAGATAATGATAGTAATGTGAGCTAGTATTTATGGAGCTGTTACTATTACTATTTCAAGTATTTTACAGGAATTATCCCGTTTGTTCCTCCCTTCACAAGAAACTGGTTATTGTCAGCATTGCACAGGACACCAGGTTCTCTATCATCCTGAGTGCCTGCTCTTACCTGTGTGCCTGCTCTGTCGTGACCATGTAGCCTGTTTTTAAATGATAGTTTGGATGTCTCAGCTTTCATCTTTCCGGTGGGCGCCTCAGCCAGGACGCTTTCTGCTTGAATTCTCTAACAAGCAGCACTGCTGAACCGGGTTCTTCTTCCCAGCTTCTCTGCCTACTGCACTGGGGATTGAGCCCAGGGCCTCCAAACTTTTTAAGTAAACTTTGCGGTCCACCTTCTCTTCAAAACTGAGTCCTTACCACTCCATCAGCTTCCTGCACCTACTTTATTTTAAACTCTGCACACCTTTGTAGGAGATGACCCAGCAAGTCCTGACCTGGGCAAGCCCTTGGCTTTAAGTCTCATAATTAAAGTGGACTTTAACTTAAATGGCTGCTTCCTTCCAGAGAAGAAACTGGAGTCTTGCAGCTCCCTCCCAGCGCCTTCTTCCTTCCGGTCCAACTCCCCTCCCTGACTGCCAAGATTCTGCTTGGAGCTTACATCTCAAACCTCTTCAGTCCAGGGGGCCATGATTGAGCTGGCCCAGCCTCTTTCTCTGGCCTCTCTTCAGCAGGCTGAGAAGTTTCCCTCTGAATTTCAGAGACATACAATACCTTTACACACGTGTGCATTGCCATGTGAGGATAATCTCCTGAGACAGCTGAAGAGGCTACATGTTCTGGATAAGGACCAGAGGGCTTTGTGGAGGGGTCAGGGGTTGAGAGGAAAAAGCTAAATACCTACCCTTGAGATGTGCATGGAGCCCCAGGTGCCCCAGATCCAGAGTTAATTGGCTCCATCCTGCCAGGGACGGATTTTAGTTTGCAAACTAATGTGTAAAGATCTAGTGGGAGAAAGGAAGAGAACTGGTCATAGCTGCTTTATAGAACTTTGCATGGGGTAATGGTATTTTCCCAACTTGTTTTATTCTTTCAACTAAACACTTAGATATTCATTAAGTGCACTATGTGTGTGGCCCTGTGCTTGATACTGAGATTGTTTTCAAGGAAAGGGAAGTAGTTCTTCCATTAGAGACTACACGGGATACTGTTTGGGGCCCCAAACACCTTTTGGAGTTGATACACCCCTGTACTCTGGAGAAGCTCTCTGTTGGCTACCATAACTCACAAAGGATAACTCTAGTACATAAATTTGAATTTTGGCAACATACAAAAAGCAATTTCCTTTATCAGTCAGACGTAAGATAATGTAGCCGACCAGTCATGTCCCACAGTGGATTTTTCCTGAGGCTGCAGGTCTTGACTATAGGGACACTATCATTTTAAAGTCATGATGTCCCCATGTACAGTATTACTAAAATGTTCCAAGAGTTTCAGTACTAAATGAACTGAACCAGAAAATAGGGTAGAAAAAACACTAAAAGGTAGCTTGCCTGAGGCTGAGGGATTACCTAGAAGATGTGCAGAGGTAGCCACTGAGGTGAGCACACACCTCTGTGTATGGAATTTCAGGCAGGGAAGGTGATAGATCAGACCTTAGGCCAGGTGATTTGCAAGGTCTGCCCTCCCCCAGTCCCGGTAGCTAAGACCCACAGCTGCGGATCATTATCACAACAGTGACAATTACTTGTCAGTGATGTCAGGTTGACACAAATGTCCAAAAATATCTAATAAAGTGGCACACGCCTGCAATCCCAGCACTCCAGAAGGTAGTGCAGGAAGATCACCGACAGTTCAAGGCCAGTTTGGGCTACATAGTGAGTTTAAGTTCAGCCTGAACTATACAGTGAGACCCTGGGGGGTGGGTGGGACCATCCTTTTGTCTCACCCACTCTACACATTCTTCAAGGCTAGGCTAAAATTCCATATCCTTTACAAAATCCTTTCAGGCCAGGCCAGCTTTTCATACCACAGCAACCAGAGATTCAACAAAAGATGAATTCTCCCATGCCGAGAACAAGTTCAGAAGGCACTCATCCCTTCCTGTCAGTGATGTCTGCTTGTGCCTGCACTTGTGCGGTAGCCTAGTTGATCTTCCAGCCTTCAGCTCCTCCCCCACTACAGCTCTTGTGATTCACCACTTGGGGATTTTTCTTCTGTCTTCCTATTCCTGCAGTGAGCCTCACCACTGCACCCAGTGGGTTCCTTTTGAGGACACATAATGCAGCAGCTAGGCAAGGGGTACCATAAAAAGGCAGACACAGCCTTCATGGGCATTGCAATCTACTAGTCAGAACAACTGAAACAAATACTGCATCAGAGAGGTACTGGTCACACTCAAGCAGCTGCCACCAGCCAACATCTCTGCAAATAACCAGGAACCATTCCATAAATCCAAAGAGGTGTACTTTTCAAAAAATGACTCAGGACTGGAAATGTAGAATCTCTGATGTGTACTTTCTAGAGTGAAAACTTTATTTTTTAGCCATAATAAAGAAATGGGTGTACTAAGCTGATAAATATAACTCTAGCAAAACTTTTATACACATGAAAAACTGAGCCACAGATTGCCATCTTAATTAACTGTCTCTGTTCAGAATAAAAAAAAACCCCAAATATCCATCCCACATACTGCTTCTCTTGAGGAAGTTGGAATTAGATCAACCCCCTAGAAAACGGTGGTTTTCTCTTCTGAGGATGCCATTTTCAAATGAGTGTGGTGTTCTGGGTGCTGAGCCACAGCCCCACCTGGGAGGCCACGCGCACTGTTGCTAGTATGGAAGCAAAAGGGAAGGAGTACTTAAAATCCCCAAGTATGAATTATTCAGAAATACAGAACCAACCACTCATAACCCATCTCTAGATTATCCGTGATACATGTGCCAGCCCAAACTGGCTGCCGCTTACCGCCCTGCCTTCTCTCCGGCCAACCTCAAGGAATCATCATTTACTCAATCTGTCCATGCCTTCAGAGAAGCTCAGCTGTCACAATCCTGAAGAATATGTTACTTTCGTTAAGTTCAATCTAGAAGCGACACATAGCACCTGGGAAGGAAAGTCTGCTCCTTCGGAGCAAGTATGAGACAAACTCTTGTGGTCTTTCCCACATGGGAGCAGCACTTGGAAGGCAGTGGAGAGAAATTATGAAAAAGAAGGGAATGAAATGACTTCTGTGTATTCCTGAGGGAGTATTCTCAGGTCTTTAAGTCTCCACGTAGAGAAGAGACACATTGCTGCCTTAGATGCCTCTTTGTTTCTTTTAACTTTAAAATTCATCCCAGGGATTAGCAAATTAAAATTTAGCGGTGCGTTGCCTGACCCAGTCCAACAGAAGATCCATTCAGGGGAATGCAGTATGGAGTGGTGGTTACCTCTGGTGTCCGGTGGCCTGAATTCCTACCCCAGCTCTGGCACCTACTACCTGTGGGGCTGGCCGAACGATTTAAGCTCTCAGTTTCCCCATCTGTATAAGATGAGTGTGATACCCTTTGTCTCATGAGATTGATGTGAAAATTAAGCTATTGCTTGGCAGACTTAAAACAATGCCGTCCATATTGTAAACACTTCATAAATATCACATACTCATATCCTTATTAATTAAGAGACTCACTTGCAGAAACTGCTTTTTCAGATCAGCTCTCCTCCTTTCCAGAGGTTGCATTCAAAAGCAGCTTTTCAATTTTTACCCTGTGCTTAAAGATCCCAGGCCACCGTCAATCCCCATCCCCTGCATCTGTCCCTCCCACGCCACCTCCAAGGTTGGGCAAGATACAGCCTCTCCCTGACTTCCAGAAGGACACGTTCCTTGCAAGCAGCTTGAAATGCCGAGGTCCGAGCAGAATAGAAGTGGGGATGGCACCCTGCACTTTGCGCCTGGTGGGCTTGGAAGTAGGTGTCCTTGGCAGGGTGACTGTGCTCTCCTCACCTCTGTCTCCGGCAGCTGTGTGGGAAGGAATTCAACCGGATGCACAATCTGATGGGCCACATGCACCTGCACTCGGACAGCAAACCCTTCAAGTGCCTCTACTGCCCCAGCAAGTTCACCCTGAAGGGGAACCTCACGCGCCACATGAAGGTCAAGCACGGCGTGATGGAACGGGGCCTTCATGCTCAAGGTAGCTCATCCCTGCCAACGCCCACCCCACCCCGGGCTCAGTGGGCAGCACTCGGGAGTGGAATTTGGCTTTATGGGGTGTTACTTTGGGGATCGCTCTAATCAAAAACAGGGATGTAATTTTTAGGACCACATTGGAATAGTAGGAGCAGACTTAAAATGTCACTAAAAAAGGTCATACTGATACCTGAAGGCTGTGCGTTATGCTCACGGAGAGTAAGTTTGGAACCTGATGTGCTGCCAGTTGGCTCCAGCGTTGGTTGCTTTGTTCTAAACTCTGCATCGGGTGCCTTAGCGCCTTAAATCATTACAGCCACTCCCAGGTGGAGGAACACCTATAATTAGTGTTTTATAGATGAGGAAACCAAGGCTTTAAGAGATTAATTCGCCCAAATGGCTCAACTGAAAGGTGGCAGAGCCAGGATTTAAGTGCACACCATTCTGACTCAACAGTCTTTATTACAGCCGCTTTGTCACATTGCTGTTAAATTGCATGTGGTTTTCATTTCCTTTTTCAAAACAGGTCTGCACACTGTGCTGTCAGCAGAAGTGTGTTCGTGGCAGCCTAGGTCCCCCTCCCTGTCCACACAAGGACCACTTTCCTGCAGGTCGGCCTCTGCACAGAGCAGGGCTTTAGTCTCCCTGCACTGAGTCTTTGTTGAACTTGAAATGTTCTTGCCTCCTTTATCTTCATAGCCCAGGACCCTTGGCAGTGAAAAGTTTGTGTTCCAGGCCTGCTGATTAGCAGGCTTCCCCCTCGTGACCTAATCAACCAGTCCCTTGACAGGACACACCTCTGTCCGGTGCAGCGAGCTGCATGCAGTGACAGGTTGGAGAGAATGAGGCTATCTTTGCCCTCCAGGAGCTCTGCGTGTGGGGACATAGGACTGTTGTGGGTGGAATTTACAAAATCATCTTAAGAGATCTGTAACCACCATCATTATTGGTCAAAGCTTAGAGCCAGACACTTTGGGAGTGTTATTGGTAACCTCCGCAAATCTATGAAAGAGACTGTTATTTTCATTTCGTGTAAAAGGAAACTAACACCTGGAGGTGTTATAGAAGCTATTTGAGGTCAGACAGCAAGTCTGAAGGCAGAACTGAGATTCCAACTCAAAGATTTCTGAATCAATCCTGTGTTCATTACTCTAGGCAAATATCAGGGATAATTTGCTTGTGTCTGCTCCAAACAAAGGTAGTGAAATCAGCGCACAGATTCATAGATGATATAGGTGCCCGCACACACAGAGTAAAATTAAATAATCATAACTTTGAAGTTTTTCACAACACCTCCTGAGTTTATGGAACTAGAGTCATCACACACAGGGGCTGGAGTTTGTGTGCAAGCCCTGAAAAATCCTGGTTAAAAAGCAAAAGCAAGTTTTCTTTTCCCTGAAATATGTGAATTATTCCTCCTGAATTATTCACTGAATCTCTAGTTGCCTGAGCCACTCCCTAAGCTATGCCTGGATTTTTCCACAGGAGGTGAAGTTTGTTCCACCTCTGGGGCAGGAGAGAGAGACAGACAGCTCCATGGCCCGAGGATGTTGGAAAGGAGGCCATTGGTCCTTAGGGGCCCCTGCCCTTCCCTGGAACGCTCCCACCCAGAGCCCCTGTGGCTGGGACCTCTTTGTGCCTTCTCCTCTTCAAAGTCTTGGCTTCTGTCCTCAGAGACTGACTGTCCGCTCAGCACAGGCAGAGGCCTTAACAATGGGATGAAATAAAGCTACCTCATGGCTATTGACCACTGCAAAACTCACTGGTACAGGCCCCCAAACTGAAACTGAAAGTGAGATGCTCTCAGATCCTTGTGCCCAGCACAGAGGCACATGTCAGGCGCAGCGGCTTTGGGAGCTGTGTGGAACCTTCTACCCTCCCTACTCTGTGGAAAGGGGCCACGATCCGGAAGTCCTCGGGTCCTAGTGGAATCTCTTTTTTCAAGATGAAAATATCTATTACTGCTGGGGGTTTTTTTCTTACAGTAAAATCTATGCTTACTGCAAAATAGAAGAAATACTTGAGAAATGAGGAAATGTAATAGCCACCTCAAACTATCCATTTTGAGATTTTGCCATCCATTCTTTGTATTATTCAGCTTCCTCTCTCTGGAACACAATACCTGCCACCTAAGGTTTAAAGAAGGAGAGGTTTAACTGGCTCGGCTCACACTGTCAGAGGATTCAGTCCAAAGTCTCCTGGCTTCAGTGTAGGAACATAATGGAGGAAAGATGTGGCAGACCGAAGCTGCTTAGTTCATGGAAGCCAGGAAGTAGAGCAGAGGAAGAGAGTCCGAGAGGAGGCAGCAGAAATAGGCAGCAGATACAGCTCCAAGGTCACATCTCTGTGACCCACCAAGACACACCCAGAAATGGGCTCTATTCATCCCTGGGCAGCTCCCACACCAATCACATTGGCCCCGTTAAGCTTAACCACCACATCCCTCCAGATATTTTTTGGGTCTAATATAAGTTCATATATAATATATCTAAATATATATATATCAAATATATGGAGAGTACATCTTATGATCATTAGTTGATCACTCTCTCACCTCTACATCTAAACATACTTCTCTGTGTGGATGTGCGGTTGTGTTAACTGACACTTAAACACCAAATTGTTTTCACAGCTTCACTGTAATAAAACGTGTGGTGATGAGCATCCTTACACAACATTCTATGCTCCTGCCTGCCTGTTTCTCATCATTTAAATTCTCAGTTGTGTCATTGCTAAGGCAAAGCTTCTTTTTAAAGCTTTTGGTGCATGCCGCCAAATTCACCCTAAAAGGAGTGCACAGATTTAGACACTGACAGGCCTCCAGTGTCCACCTGCCTACTGGGAATGAGCTGTTTTATAGGTGTACAATCAGAACAGGTGAAAGGCCTGAGGCACGCCCTCCCCGCCTCCCTGTCCACCCACTGACCACCTCCACTGTTTCCTGGATCCCTGAATCCTCTCTCTGCTTTCACAGGTTTGGGAAGGGGCAGAATGGCCCTGGCGCAGACCACGGGGGTCCTGAGGAGCCGGGAGCAGGAGGAGCCTTTCGACCTCTCGCAGAAGCGCGCAGCAAAGGGGCCGGTGTTCCAGTCGGATGGGGAGAGCGCCCGGGGCAGCCCCTGCCATGAGGAGGAGGAAGAGGAGGAGGAGGCAGAGGAGGAGGAGGAGGAAGAGGAGGAGAGCTGTTGCGAAGTGGAGCCCTACAGCCCTGGCCTAGCCCCCCAGAGCGAGCAGCTCTGTGCGCCCCAAGATCTGTCCACCAAGCCTGAGCAGACCCTCCAGGGGCGGGGGGCAGCAGGCAAAGAGGAGGAGAAGGAGTGGGGAAAGGAGGAGGATGTGACGGAAGAAGAGCGAGAGGAGAAGAGCAAAGACCCCCTCGGGGAAGGCCGCCGGCAGGGACAGGAGAGCGAGGGGGCCGGCAGGGAGGAGCGCCTCAGCCTTAGGGTTCTTCAGAGCACCCGGCGGGGCCCCTCTTTTTCTGATTACTTATACTTCAAGCACAGAGATGAGAGTTTAAAAGAAATACTGGAGAGGAAAATGGAAAAACAAGCAGTGCTTTTGGGTATCTAAGTGGACAGTTTTAAAATTACATTTGGAAGGAGAGAGCTAGGCAGTGCAAATATAGCTTTCTGCATGAACTGCTATTCGCTGGGGACAGGCAGGGGCGCCAAGCTTTATAAGTGACTCCGACTAAATGGGCAGGGTCCTAGGTAATCGGATGCTTTTCAGGCGTTCCTTGGGCCTTTCAGACTTAAAAAACACACACACAGGATTCAGTGTTACTTCATGCGTCTTCCATGTAATACACTGTGCATTTTCTTCCAGATGTCTAATCCTACCTGACCCTGAGGTGCTTTTAGAAATTCTTTTTTCCTTTCATAATATACAATACATGGTAAATCTCTTTCTAGTTGTAAAATGATGGTGCTTGATATGTTACCTTATTAATAACTAGTTAGCTGAATTCATGAAAGTTATATTTTTCCAGTTAAATGAAGATATTACTAGTGGTATATCTAAAAATAGCTTTTATTGCATAAGCAAAAATACGGGAAATGACACAGAAGGGTGAGCTATTGGAAAGGATATTCCAAGTAGCTGCTGCAGATGTAAACTAAAATCTAAGAAGGGGATGGACAGTTTTCACTAAGGGGAAATCCCAACACTTAGATTCCTACATGAACCTCTCTCTTCTGCGTCAGCTCCCTTCACTAGTGGGGCATTTGGAGCAGATTTGCAGATGACTGGACAGTGCCCTGGCTCCTCAGACTGATGTCCTGTGTCCTAAGCAGAGTTCCCTCCTGTGGCCCATTGCTGCCTTCCTCTGAGGCCTCATACCCCAGACAGCAGCTGCACAGAGAGCTGTCGCTGGTGAAGCTGGAGCTCAGAGGTGAGGGGCGGAATTCTTCCTGAAACAAACTCTGACTTATTTGGGGTGTTAGAATAATCACCAGCCAATCACTATGCCAAAAACTTAGGCGATGTTCTCCGTGCTGGCTACACATTAGCATCTTCTGGAAGAGCCTTTCCCAAACTACCAATGCCCAGGCCTCACCCCAAGATTCTGACTTAGTGGTCTAGAAGGAGCCCCTGCTCTGGTGGTTTCCAAATTGCTCCCTGTGTTATGTGCAACCAGGATTGAGAAAGATTCACTGAGCTCAAAATGTAGCCACCCATTTTTTTAATCTCTTGGACCCCTTCTCAGGGACTCCAGAAATACTTCTGCTCCTGGCTTCAGAGTGACTCTGAGGCCTGAGGCAGAGGACAGGAGACCAGCAGTGATTGTATCGACTCACCCTGTACACCTATTCTGTACGAGCCCCACGAGGGGGCATACCTCCCCCATAGACACACACTTTGTGTACTAGAACACAGCACCTGTGATGTTCATGCCTACTCCATATGCTGCGTGATGCATAACTGGCCCTATGAGGACTCACCCTTCCTGCCCAGCTGCTGGAGCCGTGATTGGGTTGGGCCCTGCAGATGGCCTTACTTGGGCACTGGCACTGAATAAAGCGATATGAATGGGGCTGCGTATGTGGGACGATGACAGCTGACAGGACTGTGTTTGCATTTATATAAATCCTGCCTCTTGGTGAGGGTTTCAGAGCAAGGGACTGCTGAGCACTCTGCTTTTCCTCCTCCCACACTTCCCAGGACATTTCTTTGGAAGACCTGGCCGTTTCCGTTGGCTGGAGGCTGGCTGTTTCTCTCAACCTCGGAGCAGGTGCCTCCCCGTCCGCCCCTTCTCATCCCCATCATTCACTGGTGTGCTTTGGCAGTCCCTGACTATTTCTCCTGCCACCGTCCTAAAATCCTTTCTTTCAGCATCAGTGCCACCATGAAGTTCTACAGCTGCTTGGACTTCCTACTGGCACCTGAGGTCAAAGCACCTGCAGAGGGGATGGTGGAAAGAATAGTGTGGGTTTCTGCCATTGTTCAACTCTGGGCCAAGAGCTGTTCCAAGTCCTCAGCGGGCCAGCTTCCACTCAGGGTGACTACAGCTCATGGGTGCCTTTGACGACATTGCCCAGGAAGCTGGCAGCGTGGTTTGTGAGGAGGCCACCAGCTCTTAGGGCCCCATTGTAGGTGTATTCATTCAGCATCTGCATATTGAGGACCTACTACGAGCTGTGCCTGGCCACATATGCTGCAGACTTTCAGTTGCTTCTGACTGGAACAGGAGCCAGGAAAACAGAGAGCGGGGGAGGACTCTAGCCCTTTCAACCAAAACAAATCCTACAGGAGTGTTTGAGGGACCAGTTAATGTTGAGTTGGAGAGAGCGAGGTCCAAAATGGTGGTTTTTGAGTTGTGTTTTGAGGGGCAGAGGTCCCTGTTAGGCCGCTGCAGAGCTGCTGGGAGGGGCTCACTTCTCTTGCCCACCCCACTCAAAGTGCTCATTTTGTCTGTTTTGTGTGTTAGCATTCTCAGTAGATTTTCATTTGGAGAGAAAAAAGAGGTCTAGGGAAAGTAAACAAAATTTTATTGTGGGGTGTGCTCCAAGGCCTGGATTTGGTTTTTAACTCAGGGATATAAGAGACTTGATGAGCTCTAACCTGAGGGCTGAGTTAGCACTGACCTTCTGGGAACGAAGGATAAAACCATGGTGGTTGGTCTGGGACAACTCTTGTTTAGACCCATGGTCTCAGGGTAATTAATAATAGTGTGCCCTTCACTCCCCGAAGGATTCCAGTTTTGAGTACTAAGTTATGTAAACACCCTGTGTGTGAGGGCAGAGCTAAGTGAAGGGCCACCAGCCTTGCCTGAGAAGCTGATTATCCAGAATGGAAGTCTACAGGAGGACCTATTGGGGCCATCACCAGAGAACAGAGGAACAAAGTCATCCAAGGTTACCCACATCCAAGGTCATCATCTTCATGTCGCTGTGACACTCTGGAGAAAGGTCAGGACCAAACACTTTCCAGGTTCTGACCACTGTCACTTAGAACCAACCAACACACACACCAAGTGGCACGTTTTTCTTCTACCTTTTATATTTAGGCCTACAATTAGCGCTCTTGTTGCCTTTCAAGTCTTCTTTCATTCTCTCTTTTTAAAAATTTGACTTCCCACTGGCCATGAGACTGAAGCTAACCTTTCGTAAACCCAAAGAGTAACTGGTATCTTGGTATATGATTAACCGCATGAGAAAGCCCCGTGTGCATACTGTATTTATTAAGCCTTGGAGGCATTTCATAAAATACTAACATTGTGTTTTGAATTATGATCATTGTCTGCTTTGCTGGAACAAAATGTAATAGCGTTAACATTTAAAATCTTTTGCATATTTTGGACAACATTACACCAAATGTTGATTTTTGTACAGAATCCTGGCTTGCTATTTAAAAACTAAAACTCCAAGTGTATAGCAAACCAAGTTGTGAATATTACTTTGTGCTTCAATGAAAAGGCAGTTTGCCTGAAAGTAGCACGTTGTAACCTGTATTTTGTTAATTTAAGCAAATAAAGACATGTTGAAAAACCCGAGTTGATTATTTACAAGTACCTGAAATTTTGCAAAGAAGTGCCATTGCCAGAGTCTCACTCCAGCATCTCACTATGCCAGGGGCTGGCTTCTCAGCCCCAGGGAGAAGAGGGTGTTAGTTCCCTCAGAACTTCAAGGAAAATTAATCAACTTCAACCCATCTGGAGGCAAAAGACGTCTCACTCATCCTCTTCTTATTCAAAAAAATTCATTCTTTATAAGAAGAGCTATTCTCTTTCCCTCCTTCCCCTCTCTTTGTCTGTCTCCCTGACCCATCACCAGCCCTTTTCTCTCTCTACCATCTGATAATATAGTTGTCTGGAAGCCAGGAAGTGAACTCACACCAGACACCAAATCTGCCTCTACCTGGATCGCAGACTCCCCACCCCTCAGAACTGTGACAAGCAAATGCTTGTGTTTTAAACTACTCAGTATATGGTATTTTATCACAGTAGCCCAAACTGACTAGGACATGTGTCTTTTGCAGAATGGGCTTGCTGCACCTATTCATTTACAATCACAGGTGGTCAAATGAAGCCCAAGCTGCTCTCCCAGGTTCCATACTGTTCTTCCGCAGCCCTTGTTCCCAATGACCAGACCAGTTACTTCTGCCAAGCTGGCAACTCCTCTCCTTGTCTGCTAGGCTTTGGAGACACAGAACAGAAGTGCCCAGGTGGCAGCTGTAGCTTGTAATTTAATGGTATTTTTGCTATGTTCCTGGAAGAAAGTGCATTTTTTTTTAAGGATAAGAACTTATAGCCCTGAGGAATTCAAAGTTGCAGAAGTAAGAAGTATAAAGCCACCCCCAACGTGTCACTGAGAATGATAGTTCCTATTTCCACTCCTGGTCTCTGGAACCTTCCTACTGAGGACTTAGCATTATATAAAACCCCTTGATCCAGTGCATGCCCTGACAGTTGGCACCCTACCCTTACAGGGTATTTCCCCCAAGAAGCTAACTGGCCACGTGTGAGAGTAGATCTGCAACAGCAAGCAGAGACACCGAAACAACACCCAGGATTTGGAGGCAGATTTATTTATGTCAACAGGCACTGATCGGGATCGTATCCAAAATATCAGGCCCTGATCTCTGGTGGTCTAAGGCTTATGTGGGATAAGCAAGCAGGAAGTACACAGGCAGAATGGCTTGTCAATTGGGGATTGGTTTATACACCGTGCATCAAAATGACCAGCTGTTTCTAAGAGACAGGACCAACCAGATCTGGAACTGGAATTATTACTTGAGCAACTAACAGACTGAAGTATACTGGCTGGGCCAGGGAGTGCATTTTGTGCTACAGATACTTTGGCCCTGGGCCTACCTCCGCACCTTATGTATTGTAAAGGGAAGTCCATAGTTTGATACAATGTTATGTTTGATTCTGCACTACTAGAACAAACACTCCAAAACCTCACCCCTTGGTGGTGGCTAAGTTCTTACAAGCAACAAAGGCAAACTTATACCTAGAATGTGTGTCTATTCCTATGACAATGAATGGCTAACCCTTCAGGATGAAGGGAGCTTAAAGCAGTCAGCCTTGTGCTAAACGACCAATTACTCTTCTTGAGCAATGGTGACATATTGGAAGGTCAACATCAGGCCTGACATTGGCAGCAGATTCATGAGCCCGGTGAATGCAGGTCATGATGTGGAGCCTATGTATAACCTCCACCTCTGCCACTGGGACTGCTTCATTCCTGTGTTCTTTGTTCTAGTAGCCCTGGGGTCGCTATTGACAGCAACTGAATGAAGCCAACTGGCAAGGTGACTTTGCTGTCAGCTTACTGAGGGTTTCTTCCAGGATGGATACTTTGTGTTCGCCGTCATAGGTCTGTCCATGTAACTCTGCATTGGAGCGTGAATGCACTTTAGCTGGAATGGTCACCAATGGCCTCTCTCAGCCATACTGTTTTTAATATCAATATGGCTATTTTTCTAATTACAGGATAAAATGCCACTTGATGTGAAGTTCATCTCTTCATATAATGACTGACAGGTTCAATTAGGTTGGTACTGGGAATCGAACTCATGACCTCGTGCTTGCCAGGCAGGGGCTATGCCGCTGAGCTATATCCCTGGCTTCACAGTGCTCATAATGTCCATGCTTGTTACTTGGTTGGCAACAGAGTGTGCTTACTAAGTAGTGTGCTAGGTAGGTAGCATCAAACTGTCCTTCTCCCAGTTTTGATCTAGGTGGTAGTTGGTGAAGAAAGAGTCAAGGCCGAAGACGGCAATAGTTTCTCAGACACAGATGCTAGGGAGAACTGGCAGCAGGAAAGACAAATGAACCCAGAGTTAGAAAATCAGAAAACAAATGAAAAGGGCTGGGACCCCAAGACCAGCGAGGCTGCAGAGTGCTTTGTGTCTCCACAGCTCCTGAGGGTACCTGTGCTCCAGCGGTACAGTCATGTGTTCCTGATCCTGAACTTGCATTGTTAAAAGTGAATTAATCATCTCTACCATATTATTAACTAAATTTAACCCAAAAACATTTCCATTTAATAAAATATAGTTCTCAAAAGGTGACGTTCTGGTGTTCTAGAAAGTCTGATCCAGTGCAGTTTATGCAGCCACAGTGCAGACTTAAGACAATGTTGTCATGTTCCAAGTTCCAGAGTTGGTTGGCTTAGGGCAGGGCTGACAGCACCTCCAGAAGAAACAAAAACAAAAACATGTGGAAGGAATTTGTCCCGGCCCTTAAGGAACACGCAGTTCTTAGCCGGCCTGGGGAGGCCAGCAGGAGCATGGCTAATGACTTTTCAAATCCCTGTGCTCAAATTTCCAAAGCCGTAAAGCTAAAACCTTGCCAGCCCTGTGAAAACCCAGGTGAGAACACAGCCTGGTTTCCTGAGGCACTGTAGCACTTTTACATTTTTATTTTTATTTATTTGTTTATTTTTTTTTCACAACACAGCAGAGCCGAGCGTACCTTCACACCCATTACAAACTCCCTCTGCAGGCGGAGGAAGACCTGCTCCTGGGATAGCTGGGGAGTGGCCCTCACCGTGTCCCCGGGGACTCAGTATCAGTGGCTCTCACGGCTTCCTCTTTCCCAGATGCAACAATATATTAAGGGAGAAAAAAAAGAGAGGAGGTTGGCTCTTTTCATGATTTTCCTTTTTAATTTTTTGTTGAAAATGGAGCTATGTTCTCTTGATCCTTCAAACAAATGGAGGGGAAGTGGGAGTCCAGAAGTTTCTCTGATGTTCCCCGGAGAGGGTGGCTGTGTTTGTAGTATGATGTGGGAAAAGTTCTTGTGTATCTGCTGCATTGTCAGGTTGTACCAAAGTGATTTGCAGTAGGAAGTGTGGGATGAATAGGATTTCTATGTCAGAGAAAGTGAAGGAGCTACAGTCTTTGAATCAAAGATCTCCGTTTGCCCTTTATCTCTCTGACATGCTTCCCCTGACCTCTGCCCTCCATCTTTATTCTATGATGAAAGAAATACAAGAACACACTCTGAGCCTGACCCAAACAATACATCCAAGCAGAGGGCTCCTTGCTATTCAGACTGCACTTGGGCAAGGTGGCCGAGAGGCGTGGGGTTGGCAGGACTTGGCAGAAATAGCAGAGGCAAAGTGGAAGGGAGAGCTGTCAAGATTTCTGGCACCATATCTCAAGAATTGTTTTTAACTGATATTTGAAATATGAAGTGTGAGTTTTTTCAGAGTGGATCTTAACAAATAAATGGTCTGTGGGAGGAAAATGGACAGATACATGAAGACACATTTAAAACAATTGCAAGGATATTAGTTTCGATGTAGCAATTCATCCTATTAAGCATGCCGTCAAATAATTTTGTTTCTTCTAAAAAGTAGTAATAAGGAAACAGTCTCCAACCTTGTGTCAAATGAGGGGATAGATGGGTAAGATTTATTAATCATCCTAGCTTTAGAGAATCAGTCCCTGTGTCATTTATTATTCTTGAAGGAGAGCTTCTCTTCCAACATGTAACAAGTCTAAAGAAAAAAAAAATCCACTTCCCTTCTCCTATTACCTGAGTCAGAGTAATATTTAAAAGACTCAGCTGTGGTTTTGAAAGTGTCTGTAAAATATTGAGTAAATTGCCTCTTCAACGCTATGAAGACCAATTGAAAATAAATATAAATCCCTGGCAATGGCATAGCCCTTATAAGAAGAATAAACAAAAATCAAAGCAAGGTTATATAGCAGCTTAGATCATGACAATGTCAGCCTCCCAGGGAACATTCAGTAAATAGTTAGCAAACACAATGGTGTCTCTCTGAAGCAAGCAAACTGCGACAGGCTCGCATCCCCTAAGAAGTCACTATCTGAAGGCCCCGAATGGAAATACTGGTGCTTGTGTGGATTTCACAAGACTATGCTTCCAAGGGGTCTGACAACGTTTGGGTCCTTACTTTCCTGGCTTCTGAGCTCAGGGTTGTCTACTCAGATACTTTGCCTTATTCTACCAGTTAACTCTGTGGGCAAAGGTTGTGGCCACCACCACACCACCTTCAGCAAATGTAGCCTCTCTCTCTGCTTCTCCCAGGACGCTGTCAGAAGAGTCTAAGAAAGGGGCTGGAGATTTAGCTCAGCGGCATAGCACCTGCCTGGCAAGTGCAAGGTCATGAGTTTGATTCCCGGTACCAGAAAAAAACAAAAAACAAAAAAACAAAACAAAAAAAAAGGCGAGTCAGAAGAGTCTAAGATGGATCCGTGAATTTACCTTCAAGGGGATGTGTGCTGTCCAGAACTATGTACCTTTCTCACAGCAGCCCATTAAAACTCTATGGGAGGGGCTGGGGATTTAGCTCAGCGGCAAAAGCGCCCACCTGGCAAGCGCAAGGTCGTGAGTTCGGTTCCTGGTACCGGAGGAAAAAAAAAAACACTATGGGAAAGAGCCTGGGGATGGGATGGGACTTCCAGAATAGTAGTGAGAAAGTCTCAGAAATCTGTCCCTCAGAAAGGACGCATGATTAAACTGTAGCAAACAGCAAGACTGTCATTCAGAGTCTTTGGTGATTGACCGAAG